GGGGGGGGGGGGGGGTGTGGGGTGAGAAGCTTAGCAGCTCCATCCAGATGCGAATTGTCCCTCCCACACTTCCCGGGCTGCGGGGGCCTCCATTAGAGCCCCTGAGGAGTCAGAATCCACACCTCCGCAAATGGGCCCGCTTTCCCAGGGCCCCCCTGCCCAGACCTTCCCTGGGCTCTGTGGGTTTTGACACCTCTCTGCAACCTGGTGGGGGTCCACCTCGCACCTTTGGTTCAGATAAAAGCTGAGGCCCCAAGGTGGCAGGTCCAGCCTCCCAGAGCCCACAGCCCCGGCATGGCCCAGTCGCCTCCTCAGCAGAACTTCCTTGGCTTAGACCATTGGATCGTCTCCCAGGGTTGGGGCTGGGAGGGCCACTCCGACTCCACGTCCCCAGCCTCTTCCTCGGATTCCTCGAGCTCGTGCCCCTGTGACAGCGCCCTCGGCCTCTCTCAGATCGCAAACCCAGCCCGCAGCGCCCGAGTAGCTGAGGCCATTCCGACAGTGCCCAGACGTGCACGGACGGGACCAGCGGGTGGACAGCGGCGGAGCGCCAGCGAGCGCGAGAAGCTGCGCATGCGCACCCTCGCCCGCGCCTTGCACGAGCTGCGCCGCTTCTTGCCGCCGTCCATCGCGCCGGCCGGCCAGAGCCTGACCAAGATCGAGACGCTGCGTCTGGCCATTCGCTACATCGGCCACCTGTCGGCTATGCTGGGCCTTAACGAGGACAACTTGCAGTGTCGGCGCCGGTGGCGCGCGGACGCAGTGTCTCCCCAGGACTGCGCGCTCTGCCCCGACGGCGGTCCCGTGCAGGTGCAGACCCGGGCTCCTGGCCCGGGTTTGGGCACTGCTTTCTGTACCGGGCCGTGCTGGGGGTCCCCGCCCTCCTATCCTGCCACCGGAGCCCTGGCTGAGAGCCCGGGGAGCAGGGTTTCCAACACGGATTCCTGGGTAACACCCCCTTACTGCCCCAAGATACAGTCGCCCCCGCTCCAGCCCCTAGGGAGAGTTCCTGACCCGGTTCTTTGGACGCCACCCAAAACCTGTCCCGGAAAGCAGACATCCCTGGAGCCTCAAAACCCCGCTTCACCCTGGACGCCACCAGCGGAGCTGGCTGCAGTGTACCAGGTACGCCATGGAGGCCCTTGCCCTTTCCCTGGTTTGATCCCCAGGTTTAATTTGGGAATGGAGTGGGTGGGTAGTTTCTAGTCTGCGGAGGATCTCATCTTTTCAGATCCTAGTTTATCTAATGGCGGGAAGGATGGAAAGAACCCTAACATCTGTAGGGAAAGAGATGAGGCCCTGGGAAGTGAATGACACAACTTCCGCCACCCAGCAATCTTCTCAGCGGTGGACAAGAGAGACTCACTTCGAGCTTGCTCAGAGGTGGGGGTGGAAGTTGGGAGATTGCACTCTCAGGAAAGGCCAAGTGCTTCTTCATTAAGGGTTCAGGAGGGGAAGGGAGCCCAAGGTAAAGGGCGGACCCTCGCCCGCGCCTTGCACAAGCTGTGCCGCCTCCTGCAGAGCCTGACCAAGATCTAGACGCTGCGTCTGGCCATTCACTACATCCTGAATAGATGGGCTTGCAGTTGGAGACAGTCATTTTTTTTTCAAGTTTCATTCATTTATGAGGCCAATGAATGAATCTTGGTTCATAAACGATCATATTAGTAACCAAACTTATTAAATTCTTATTGTCTGCTCCACACTATTCTGGGCACTTTCCATGTATTCATTCATTCTGCCCTTCAAACAATCCTATGAAACATATATTAGCATCCCCATTTTAAAGATGAGAACACAGACAAAAAGAAGTTACCTGAATTCCCACAGTGTAGCAGAGCTGGGATTTAAAGGTCAGCACTGAGTCTGCAGAACCAGTGCTTTTAACCACTTTGCTCCACTGCATCCATGGCACCAGGACTGTAAAGACATCATCAGCCATGCCCTGGGGAGCATCCAGGTTTTAGATTTCTGGGCAACAAGCTGTTCTTGTCTTTCTTACAGGATATCTCTGGGTCTTCAGAATCCTGTCTACCTCTGGGAAGTCCACCCCTTCTGCCCCGCCCTTCATGCCAGAGACTCCAGCCTCAGACACAGTGGGGGTGTTGGAGCCACAGTGCAGAGGCGCTGCCCAGCTCAGAGGACCAGGGACCTGGCCCTGTTTTCCAACTCAGTGAAGTGAGCCTCACCCAGAATTCAGGCCTACGGCTCAGTAGCTGCCCTGAACTTTGGCAAGAAGATTTGGAGGGGACCCACCTGGGCATCTTCTGATGGCCCTACCTGGCCTTTTTACATCCAAGAATCAGGCTTGCAATGTGGACGTCCTCCTCTTCTGTTTCTTTGGTGGTTTTAAAGCTTTCTAGCCAAATACTTATCATGAAAACAGTGTCTGGAACAGAGATAGTGGGTATCCTCCCAGGCTGGAGTGGGGTTATGACAGTGCCCTCTACTGCTAGGCACCCCCCTCCCATACACCATGTCTTGTATTTTGCAGAGCACAGTCTAAGCTGCTCTGAAAAGGGGGCTGCTTGACCCCCAAAGAGACCATGCTGGGACTGGTAAGGGAGTGGGCATGGAGGCCAGGCTCTTGCTCTGCTGTGTTTCTTGGTGACAGCTGTCCAGAATCCGATATGCTTAAGATGTTTTGTAACTTTTTAAAAAAGAAAAAATACCAATAAAATTTTGATACAGTCTGTTTTTCTATCAAGATAGGTTTTTCTTGCCTCTGGGGTGGTGGTGGGGGGATATTCCCATTCTTGGGGAACAAGGCCTATTGCCCTTCCACTCCTTGAGTCCAGGCCTGCCAAGATAGATGTGGGCCCTTGCTTATTATCTTGATGGTATTTATTGTGTCCTGGTTCCAGGGCTGAGAGTACTGCCTGGCCTCTTGTGCAAGGTGACCATAGGTAAGCTAAGACTAGGGCCTGCTCACTTGCCTCAGACACATCACCGCAGCTCATTTGCATTCTTCTGGTTGCAATCCTGCTGACCCATGGGGTAAGCATATGCAGTTATAAACAAACAGGGCCTCCAGGGGAGGACACCTGAGATACAGAGACCTGTGATTTAGGGGCTTTTTCACAATGATATAAAGTTTTTTCCAAAGGATGTGAGTGGCTCCTATGTGCGTGGCCCAGTGTACTAGTGTCTAGGGCTGCCATAGCAAAATATCACAGAAATGCATTTTTCAGTTCTGGAGTCTAGAAGACCAAGAAGTATAGGCAGGTTTGATTACTTCATGGCTTGCAGATGGCCTTCTCACTGTGTTATCTGTGTCCTAAATCTCTTTTTTTGAGGATATCAGTCATATTGGAATCAGGCCTACCCTAAGGACACCCCCACACACACACCATTTAATCTTTTTTTTTTTTTCCCCAGTACTGGGGATTGAAACTAGGGACTCATCCCAGCCCTTTTTATTTTTTGTTCCGGGACAGTGTCTTGCTAAATTGCTGAGGCTGGCCTGGAATTTGCAATTCTGCCTCAGCCTCCTAAATTGCTGGGATTACTGGTATGTACCAGTGTACCAGGCCCTGTTTAATCTTAATTACCTCTTTAAAGGATTTATCTCAATATTCAGTCACATTCTGGGGTGCTAGGGGCTAAGGCTTGTGTTAACTTTCTGTCACTATAAAGAGAAAAGATTTATTTTGGTTTATGGTTCTGGAGTTTCCAGTCCATTCCTTTGGACCTCTGGTGAGCAGAGCACATTGTGCCAGGAATGTGCAGAGCAAACTGTTTACATCAGGAGCCAAGAAGCAAAAAGAAGAAGGGATGGTATCCCACAATCCCCTTTGGGAACACACCCACAAAGACCTAAGGACCTCCCACAAGGCCCCACCTGCCAAAGGTTTTACCACCTCCTAAGAGTACCACCTGGGATTAAGCCTCCAATATTCAACCTTTGGGAGACATTTAAAATCCGAACAATAGCAAGGCTTAAGCATAAATTTTACTGTTTAGCTCATAATGATAAGTGTCAGAAATTACTCCCCAGTTAATGAGATAAATTGCAAGGACATAAGTGATCAGAATTCAGGTCCTAAATGCAAGGATGAGAGTTTATACAAAAGGCATTAGGACCAGAGAGAGATAACAGGTTGGTGGAAGGCAATTGGCAGTACCTTTTCTTATTTTTTTAATATCTATTTTTTAGTTGTAGTTGGACACAATACCTTTATTTTGTTTATTTTTATGTGGTGCTGAGGATGGAACCCAGTACCTCATATGTGCTAGGTGAGTGCTCTACCGCTGAGCCACAACCTCAGCCTGGCAGTCCCTTTTCATTCTTGAGTTACCTGATCCATTAGTCTCACTATCTTGATTTGGGCTGTCTTACCTAAGAAGAGGCACTGTGAGAATCTTGAAGAAAGGATGTCATGATCCATGAAGGTTGCCATGGACTTGGGAGCCAACAGAAATGGTATCTTACTTCTGTATCGACTCTGACTAAGGCAGCGGGTATTGAAGAAGACGTAACCTTGGGACTGGGTGTTGGAAGATGTGTAGGAGTTTGCCAGGCAAAGGAAGAGAGACTTGGGAAAGAACAGCATGAGCCAAGTGAGGACAGAGGCTGCTGGTATCTCCAGTTGATGGGGAAAGTAACAAATTGGAGAAGGAGCCCAAGGTGTGCAGAGCTCTGTGGGGGTGTTATAGGAATTTGGCCTCTCTCCTGGGTGGCAGGAGGCACTGATGGTTTGGAGTAGGGGTGATCTGGCCAAGGGTACACTTGGCCTGTTGCCTGCTTCACACCAAAGGAGCAGGCAGGGAGGCCACTGTGACAGTTCAGGCTGAGAGAAAGGGAGGGAGGAAGTTGCCTGATTTCCTTAACCTGAGTTCTTGGCCACATTCAGGGCCTTGCATTTGGCTCTCATGACAGCCCATTGCTTGCTGAGATGCCCTGGGACATTGGGCACGTCACTTCCTCTCTGAGCCCATTTTCTCATCTCCTAAAGGAAGAACTGGCTCAAGTGATCACTGAGGTATCTTCTTCCTCAAAACTTTGAAGGAATCTGGTTTCTGGCCCAGGTCCCTCTCATCCTCAGGGACTGTTAGTCATCCTCAAAGGAAGAGAGAACCCTAATCAAGGTTAGAGCAGAAAGATGGAGACAGGCCTTATGGACCTAAGAGCACATTCCATTAGGCTTTTACTGGAAGTGTAACCATCAGCAAACTTTAAAACCTCCCCGAGGCTTGTTTTTTCCAACTGTGCGATGGAGCTAAGAGACCTTACTCTCAGAGTTCTTAGGCTTGGCACATAGTAAGTACTCAGTAAAATGAGTAACTAAGCAGAGTCCTGTGACCTAAGAGATGACAAGTGGCTTTGGGAAAACCTGGCTGCATACTGAGCCATCTAGGTCCAGGGTCCGTCTCTGAGAGCGTGATTCAATACATCAGTTTCCCAAGATCCTTTCCAGAGGATTCTGAGGACGAGCCAGGTTGGGAAGCAATAGATATTCTACACCTCTTAATTTCATTGCAGAGGAAACTGAGGACCAGGGAGAGGAGCAACTTCCCATAATCCCCCAACTAGGTGTGGACCTCAGGCCCCTAACTCCTTGCCCAGTGCTCTCTCCTTTCCCCAAAGACTCAGGATCTTGGCTCCACAGTCTCGCACAACTCTGCACCACAGGCAGAACCAGACAGGGGCTCTCACCAACCTGGGCTAGTCTTGCAGAGGCAGGGGAGGCCCTCCATGGCCATGTTTCCCCGCTCCCAGGCTGTGTGCAAGCCCTAGTGGAGTCCAAGAGGACCAGCCCCACAGCTGTAGCCTGATATAAGCATCTTCTGGAATTTGACAGCCTTGTTCTTCTAAGGCACTCAAAGGCAGAAAAGAGGACCCTAAGCCATCCAAGCAGGAAACATCACCAGCTAAAATTGCCTGGGAGACATCCAAGATGCCGCTGGATTGAGAAGAACTGGGCCCAGGAGGGCTTAGGGTAATTCTCTATCCTCGTGCTCCCTCACTGGAAGGAAAGGCTCAGTCCCACCTCTCAAAGTGGCAACTCTCATTGCTCCTGACCCCCATCTAGTCTCTTGTCCATGGCTGTGTCCTAGGCAGGTCTCCCTGGTCTGCACCTGTCTGCTAAGTGCCAGCAGGGTAGAGAGAGGGGCTGACACCTATGTCCTGCACAGGTTGACTAGTCCATCCACACCTTCCTGGCAACCCCAGTCCCCAGTCATAAGAGACTGGACACTGGCTGAGTACCTCGCTCAGGTCTTTCAACGACCTGCAGTGTAGCAGACACTCCAGTTTTGCACATGGACAGCTGAGGCTGGGAGCAGTGAAATGCTTGGCTCAGGTCCAGGGCTTTGCTGAAATGTCATCTCAGTGTCCAGCACTAGGTCTGAGAAGCCACTGGGCTGCCGCCTGCCAACGCCCAGCACCTTTCATTCTTGCTGGCCTAGGGCAGGCAGAGTGCCAGACAAGGAGCCAGCAGCCTGAGTTCTAGTTAGTTTCTACTCTGTGACCTTGACCAAGGCTTTGCAAGCAGGTCTTTGGCTTCGGGTGTCCTCGCTATATATAGGGGACTGGTTTCCTCCAGCTACACAGAGCCTTTTGACTGCAAGCATTGTTAAGTGGACCAGTGACACAAGCATATCAGTGTGGCTATCACACATCCTGCTGCAGCTCTGAGTGGAAGATTTGCAAGCTCAGAGTCAAGTGCTGGGTTCCAGTGCCACTGCCTTTTGATATAAGCTCCCCGTGCCTCAGTTTCCTTATCAATAAAATAGTCAGGGCTGGATGTGTAGGACAAGGGGTAGAGTGCTTGCCTAGCATTCGAGGTACTGGGTTCCATCTCAGAACACCAAAAATAAATAATGAAATAAGCTGGCCAGCCTCAGTGGCGTGCCTGTAATCCCAGCAGCTCAGGATGCTGAGGCAGGAGGATGGAGAGTTTGAAGCCAGGGCTGGGGATGTGGCTCAAGCGGTAGCGCGCTCGCCTGACATGCGTGCGGCCCGGGTTCGATCCTCAGCACCACATACCAGCAAAGATGTTGTGTCCGCCGATAACTAAAAAATAAATATTAAAATTCTCTCTCTCTCTCTCTTTTTTTTTTTAAGAGAGAGAGAGAGAGAGAGAGTTTGAAGCCAGCCTCAGCAACTTAGCAAGGCCCTAAGCAACTCAGTGAGACTCTGTCTCTGAAAAAGGGCTGGGGATGTGGCTCAGGGTTAAAGCGCCCCTGGGTTCAACCCCGGTACCAATAAATAAATAAATAAAAATAAAAAGCTGAGAAAAGTTTTCACTTAGTGACAGATAAACATGCGAGAACAGCTCAATCAGAGCCAGGCACAGAGAGTAATAGGATTAAGCTGACTCTTGTCTCTCTATAGGCAAACCCTACCCTGCCATGTCCCTGAGCACAGAGCCCCCTAGGGACCCAAGATGGGGAAGCTGGCCCTCTCCCCAGTTGGTCCTTAGAAGGTCAAGTGCCAGCCATGACTGCTGGGTACTGGCGACAGGAAGGGCTGGCCCAGAGCTGAGGGGCCAAAGGAGTTAATTTGGAGCAGCCCAGGGAGCCTCCAGGACAGTCCCCCCGGCACCCAGGCTGGACTCTGTCCCTTGGCCCGCCCTACCCTTTGATGTGCAAATGGCAGTGGAGAGCCAGGGCCTCCCTGGTCTCAGAGGCCTGCTTCTCACTCCCTGGAAGAGAGGGTGAGAGGACAGCTGCTGGGGCCTCCAGCCAAGGA